TATATTATGGATACTATTGTGTTATTGATATGAGAAGAATGATATTCAAATTATAAAGTTCCAACTTTTTTCTCTCAAGAAAGAATAAATCAAATATGGAAGAGATTATATTTTCCTTTCAGAAAAAGTTCAAGTATTTATGGTTATACTTTGATTTTCCTTTAAACAAAAAATAAAACTTAAAATATGGTAAGAAAATCAAGACAAAACTCTAACACCGCTCTGCCCATATTTGAGCCTTTTTTTGTAATCACAACTCAATTTCTGCAACTCAAACGGATTCTAAAGCCTCCAATCGCAGAAAAAGAGCTCAATTTCCATCAAATTCAATGAAAGATTTGAACTTTACAGAAATCTTGCCACCTGAACTCATTACTGAAATCCTTTTGAGGGTTCCAGTGAAATCCCTTTTGAAATTCAGGTCTGTATCGAAATTTTGGCTTACTTTAATCTCTAGCCGTCAATTTATCAAAAACCATCTCAGTTTATCAGCTAATAACAAGGAAGACACCCACCATGTGCTTATTTATGGTCAAAGTAGATATTATAAGGGGAATTTCAAAGAATGTCTTTTTAGGTCTTTATTTAATGACTCTGTTACTGAGGCTTTCGACTTGAAGTATCCCATTGAAAACGACAGTAAACTTTTCAATGTTTTGGGTTCTTGCAATGGATTGATTTTCCTTGCAGATTATTTAGAATGTTCGCTTTTATGGAATCCAACTACTAGAATGCACAAGAATTTGCCTGATATTAGACCTAGATGGAAGAAGTACTATGTCGAATATGGTTTTGGATATGATGAGCTCCGTGACGATTATAAGGTACTGGGTATTTTTTATAATCGTTGTGGTTTAGATGGTGGGGAGGTCAAAATATATAGTCTAAAAAGTGATTCTTGGACTAGTGTGGATTATATTGGTGAGGAGATATTAAATACTTCAGACTCTAATAGAAAAATGAGATTAGGTTATTCAGGTTTTTTTGTGAATGGGAAGCTTCACTGGGATACGATTACTTTTGGTCCTAATCCCGGTGATGTGTGTAGGTGCAGGGACATTATTTATTTTGATTTAGCTAATGAGAAATGGGAAAAGGTGGAGAAGCCCTCATATGGAGTAGGAGAGACTGATTTGTATATGGGAACGTTGGGTAGTGATCTTTGTGTCTTTAGGGATTACAACGAAACTCAGTTAGGTGTTTGGGTTATGAATGGATACGGGGTTAAAGAGTCTTGGATAAAGAAGTTTACCATCACGTATCCAATTAAGCAAGTTTTATATCCACCCCTGTTCATGTCAAATAATGGTGAAATGCTGGCGACGTTAGGAACAATTACTTCCATAATGTACAATTCAAAAGATGACGCATTCAGATATCCACATGTTATTAACTGCAATGACTTTCATGGAGTGGCAATATACGTCGAAAGCTTAGTTTGTCCTTTTTCAACTGAAGTGACAGAGAAAGCAACAAAACAAAGGCGGAAAAAGCTCAGATCAAAACCATTGAGAAACAAATAATTTGTAAGAGTACTTTTTCTTCTCAAGTTCTTTCAATTTTTGTTTGTTAGTTCAAATATAGAACAAGTCCTTGCAGCTAATCACTAGATGTATATTTTCTTATGTATATAGTTTGTTTGTTTTCGATACCTGTCGCCTCCCACTAGCAACATGTACCATGTAACTCTGTCTATCAAGATTCAGATAAGAAAAAATCACCTAGTGTTTTTGTTGTCTCTTTTGGGATTTGAACCTGAGACCTCGTGGTTCTCAACCCACTTCATTGATTTATTTAATACTTCACGTCTATAAATGTCGACGCCTCTTATCTCTATATGTCATGCTATCAATTATGTATTGATATTTTGGAATTTTGACCCAAGTCACTGTAAGGAAAAGTAGCTAATCCTTGTAAAAAAAGGTGATAATAATTTGACAGACCATCATTCACTTATGTTAATAGTCTCTGTATGTTCTATTTGCTGATTAGCATTTGTTGTGAGCCATTCAATTGAGGAAGCGAGAGAGAGAAACCAAAGTGCGGGTGAGTGCAGGGATTCTTGTTCGTTGTATCTACTCGAGGCAGATTACCTAACTACTCCTTTTCGGCAGCATGATACGATCATGTGATTGACATGCGTGCCTGTTTTTGGATACTGTGTGGAAATTCGGTGCTCAATTACTTTCACTACAGGACTCTGTTTGAGTTGAGTGTATCAGGCAATGCATTGCCTTGCTAATTAGTATAGTGAACCCGGGCGGGAAGGAGCTTCTGAATTTAGCAAAGGGGGATATGTACTTCCTAGTGGATAAATTATTGTCTTTTGTTTCATATTTGGAATATTGCGATCATGTTGTATTATTTTTCAACTGTCGAGCCTGAACTGCTTTGAACTTGTTTTGCAGATTAGACATCGAAAAGGTTGTGAATGACCAATCACAAGGAGAGAGTTGGCCGTGTTCTCAATCAGCTATCTTTTGCATGTATTGCCGTTCTTAAGTTAGTTTTACATAGATTCCAAACAGTATTTGTGACTAGCCAAGGTTGGCTGTTAGTTGATTCTTGTTAGTAGCAGCTTAACTGCATTTATCACATTGTTGTTACTTGTTATTGATGATGCACTACCATTTACTTATCTTGTTGCCTCCTGTTTCCCTTATTTTTGAGTTGAATATTACTTTCTTGGAGATGACAATCGTGTTATTGTTATAAGGGGTGTTGTTTCAATTATAACTTTACAATTATAATTGCTGAATCTATATTAGAAATCATAGACATCAACAAATCCCCTCACCAATACATCACAACAAACGTCGTGTTGTATATTTGAGATAATTAATATTTGAAATAATGTATATGTGCTTTTGATGCTAGTAGTAACATGGATGATTAACTTCCTGGTGGATTTATAGTGTGTGCTTTTGTTTCATAGTTGGTGGTCAAGCACCACACAATTGAAACAGTTGACAGGAGCTTTAGAGATATAATGGATGCCAATGAACCATTTGGTGGAAAAGGCAATTTTCGACAAGTACTTCTAGTTGTTTCAAAATCTACACAAATAGAGACAGATAATGCCAGTTTGATGAAATCTTATTTGTGGTCTTTAATGGATAAAATACACTTTCACAACAAATATACAAGCAAGAGCAGATCCCAGACCGCCCCTGTTCATGTCAAATAAAGGTGAAATGCTGGCGACGTTAAGAACAATTACTTCCATAATGTACAATTCAAAAGATGACGCATTCAGATATCCCCATGGAGCGGCAATATATGTCGAAAGCTTAGTTTGTCCTTTTTCAACCGAAGTAACAGAGAAAGCAACAAAACAAACGCGGAAAAAGCTCAGATCAAAACAATTGAGAAGCAAATAATTGGTAAGACTACTTTCTTTTCAAGTTCTTTCAATTTTTGTTTGTTATTTCAAATATAGAACAAGTCCTTGCTGCTAATCACTAGATGTATATTTTCTTGTGATACTTGTCACCTCCCACCAACAACATGTAAATCTGTCACCTAGTGTTTGTGTTGTCTCTGTTGGGATTTATTTAATACTTCACGTCTATAAATTTCAATGCCTCTTATCTCTATACGGCATGCTATCACTGAAAGGAAAAATAGCCAATCCTTGTAGAAAAAGATGTTAATAGTTGACAGACCTGCATTCACTTATATATCAACTATATATTGATATATGAATGTTAATAGTCTCTGTATGTTCTATTTGTTGATTTGCATTTGTTGTGTGCCATTCAATTGAGGAAGCACTAGAGTGAAACCAAGTGCGGGTGAGTGCAGGGATTCTTGTTCGTTGTATCTACTCGAGGCAGAGAGGCAGGTCATGGTTTCTTGTTATGTAAATCACACTTTTCAGCAGCATAATATGATCATGTGATTGACGTGAGTGCCTGCTTTTTGGTAACAAATTGTTGTTCCAAGGATAGGGGTAAGGTCTGCTTACATCCTATCCTCTCCAAACCCCACTTGTGGGATTACAATGAGTACTGCTTGTGACATTTCAGATCGATAAGTTAACTTTTTTTGTATATTTGCTTTTGTTGATTGCTTAAGTTGAACGGAGTAGCCCTTTTGTCATGTCCCAAAATGTAGCTGGTATCGATATAGAGCTCGTTTTTTTTTGCTTAAACAAGGCAAACAGTTTCTAATACTAGTTTTGTTTGCTAAATGTTGATCCCAGTAAGTTTCTAATACTAGTCTTGTTCAATTACAATTTGTCTGCATAGAAGGCTAAAAAAATAACAACGAGCATAAACACCGAAACCCACAGTTTTAATAAAGACAACAACTTTGAAACTATATTGCTTCTGGACTAGATTTGCACTATGCTTGAAGAGGGTTTTTGGATTTAGCCCGAGATAGAAGGGTTGGTTCTGAGTAGGGGTGTACTTTGAACTGAAAACCGAACCAAACTGCAAATCGAGTCAAACCGAATTATTTTTTTATTAGTTTCGTTTGATTTGGTTTATAAATTTACAAATTTTACACAAATGATTTGGAACCCGAACCAACCCGATCATCTACACCCCTATGAATGGAAATGTTTGAACTTTGAACAGGTTATAAGCATTGTGTGATTTCCACTTGACTATCTGGAATCCATTGGAATGTTTTGATGTTAAGTATGAGAGTGACTCTTAGAGTTTATGCTTTCAAATGGATTTCTAATTACTGAATCTGCAAGGAGCATGGTTAGATTGTTGATTATTTGTTTCTCAAACTGATATAGTTCTTCTTTGCATATTTGTGCATAAATCATTTTTAGCCGTCTTAATTAAACAAAGAACAATTTTTATTTTATTTTAAGAAAAGGGATGTTAATTGAAATATTTGAATTAAGCTACTAAAATTAATTGAAGTTTTGACTAAAGAAATACTACTGTTATAAATGAGTTACGGCAACTATTGAGCAACAAATATATTAGTAAGATCTATATAAATAGAACATTTCTTACACCATAATAGACGGGGAAATCTAAACTAAAGCATGAAATGATAGATTTCTAAAGTGTTGATATCAAACTAGATATCACAAATCGCTACATAGAGAAGCACCCGAACTAAACAAAGAGACTTTGACTGAGTATGAATCAAGAGCAAAAATATTATCCTCTACAACTTAATATCGCTGGTCTTACTTCACATCACAGCAAGAAGTAACAACAGCACCCCACAGAAACATTTTTAAAGAAAATAAAGAACTACAACTGATACAATGAGAGAATAAACCGAACAGATGAAGATAGATGCTGAAAATGCAGTAAGAGAAGCTGATTGCAACATCCTCGATTAAAAAAAAAAACTAGACTTAAAAAATGAAACTTTACGGAGAACGTAACTTTGTAATTTTGAACAAAAGCCAAGGTATCATTCTAAAGCATTCTAGCTATAGTAATATTATTCTAGAGTGAGAAAACAAGATACGAAATTAGAGACATCACTGTAAGGTTCAAATGCCTTCAATTAGTACAGTAACATCAAAACACATCAAAGATTTGGGTGTGAATCTAGACTAATAAAACAAACAAAAGTGAGCCCCCATTCTGTCAAAAAATTCCACTGAATAACCGGTTTTACATAACTAAAATCGTCAACAATATGAACAAGAATTATAATGCGCTCTATCAATACCATTTTCCAACAGAATGCTCAAGCAAGAGGACACATAATATTGATCAACCACCCCCAAAGTATAAATTTGCCTCAAGAGTTCAACAGTAAACGCTTGATTAGAAATAAAACGCCAACTAAAACGAGTTAAGGTAAAAATGAGGTTACCTTTTCGGGGGCAGGGAACTGGAATCACGAGCTTAACTATGAAGCTTTCACCACCACACGAGGGATTCCGGCAGAACCGAACAGCTAACCCAGAAACTCTAGCAACAGAATACTATTGCCCTCAATCCTACTCTTTTTTTTTTTTACTTGTAATTGTAATTCCCTTTCTAATGGTAGAACTATCTTCCCCTCTCCCTATATTTTTACTTCAATGAATGTAAAAGGGTTTATATAGAGGGAGTTCAGGGCATAACTTAGGGGGAAAACGAGATTGAATTTCAAATTCGAATTAGAAAATCCCTTAAGGTTGCCAGCTTCAAAATAGTACAAATCCTCAACGGATTTTTGAATGGAGCCATTGATTTTGAGCGAAGGACGATCGAGCAAGGAGATTTCGACACGTCACTATTCTCAAACGGCTCTTGTACGAGAGGATAAGGAAAGAGAAGAGGAGGACGCTATTTGTTGGGCTCGAGGTCCGGGTTTGCTCACTGGTTCGTTGAAGAAGAAGAAGGGTAGCGCGTACGCGTGGGGTCGTTGCACGCGTTGTATTTTTTATTGGAATGGGCTTGGGTTGAGTATGGTATGAAGAATTGAGTTGGGCTGGGCGAATGTATTGGAATTGGGATGAAAAAAAGGGTTTGGGTCTGGGAATAAAGAAGGAAAAATGGTATGAAATAACAAACTATTAATTCAAATTAAATGATATAGCTATAGTTTCTTTTATTTGTAATTCGTAGTAAACATTAGATGTTTTTTGTCATCCCACTTGTATACCGAAATATACAAATAGATCAAAATATACAAATGCAGGACTCATTTGTATACTGAAATATACAAATGCAGGACCCATTTGTATACCAAAATATACAAAGGCATGACCCATTTGTATACCGAAATATATAAATGCAGGACCCATTCTATACTGAAATATACAAATAGACCTAAATACATATTTTTTATGTATATGTATACCGAAATATACAGATTAATAGTCATAGCCAACATAAAGTTTACTATGGAGCGCAATTATACAAACTATAGTTATAGCATACAAATATGATTTCTATGTTTGCTAAACCTAAAATTTACTCATTTAGCGAATTCGACTAAAATTGAAATAGGATGAATCAATATAATTAATTTACGAGCTTATTAATATTAACGAAATAAAAATAATTAACTTAATTATAAACTAATTAACTCAAAATTATAACTATAATTTAAGCTATACTAATCTAATAAAATATTTACTAAAATAAAAACTTTTTGAGATGATTATTCAAAAAATATACTAATTATATACATAAAATATTACATTATGCTAAAATTCCAAAAGTGAAAAAATTATATAAAAATAACTTGTTTTTTTTTTTTTTTGTAAAACTAATTATTTTAAATCGTTTGAAATTAAAGAAGCTCGGTGATTAATATACATTGTGGAGGGTCAAAATTGGGTGTCAACTGCCCAAACACCTAAATGAGTTTCGTTGTAATCACAAAAGACACCAAGATCACTACCCAACGTTCCCAAAGACAATTCAGTCTCTCCTACTTCATACGAAGGCTTCTCCATATTATCCCATTTCTCATTAGCTAAATCAAAAGAAATGATGTTCCTGCACATATGCTAATGAAACATCCCATCCACAAACAAGCCTGAACGCTCTTTAGACTATAAACTTTGACCTCAATGTCATTTGAATCACCATTAATATAATTATAAAAAATACCCACTACTTTATAATCATCATGTAGCTCATGCGTGGGTAACAAAGTCATAAAATAAAGATGTAAGATGAAATTCTTTAAAAATTCACCCTTCTCCAATATCGAGCTCCTCCAAAAAAAAGAAGCATATGTTGGGTGTTTTATTATTTTATGCCCTTTCTCAATTATGGAGAGGTGACACACAATTAAAGTGCAACGGTCCAGCTCTCCATTCCCTGATTAATTGTTACGTTACAAATACTTTTAGTGACAACCTATCGAGTAGAAGGTTGAACACCATTTACATGACAAAAAACTATTTTATACTATTTTTAATCGCTTTAAACATCGTTTTCATTAATAACATTGTTTCATACAATTTTCACAAACTTTTAATTAGTGAAATTAATTCAATTATAACTTTTATAACAAGTCAAATTTGTTTAACAATTCAATACATTATCATATTACTCAAATTTCGTTGAACCAACTCCTCCCAATCCCAGTTGATTACTTAGCCTGTCCGAGTATGCTTCTAACAATCAATCAATCTCGAGTTTAAAGTATTAATTCAAACACGTGGTTTCAACAAAAACATATGAACTTAAAGCAAAATGGAACTTACCTTTAACTTACGTATCTAAATTTCAATAATATGAAACTTCAAATACCCATATATCTAAATTTATTCTGAGTTACAAACTTTTATACAATATAAATATGAATTAAATGATCAAATTGACATTTTATTTAATTAAAAACATGTTAACAGTTTACAAATCAACCCCTACTATTTTTGTATATTTTCACTTTGACCCCTTAATTTAAGAATTTTTTCCTTGACAGTTAACAAATTTCCCTTCTCCTCACTCTCCATTTTTAGAACTCAGTAATACAAATAGGGTTTCAAAATTGAATTCTCAGAAACCCTAATCGACCTTTCATGAACGTCGACGACGAGTTTTTCATGACTTATGAATGGATATTAGTTTTTTCTCCGGCGCCGTCACGTTTATCTGTTGCTTTGTCGCCGTCGCTGCCGCTTTTTTGACTCACCGATCAAAATCGGTGCGGACGAAGGGCGGAGAGGATTCCTGTAACTGTGTGTGTTCGCGTGGTAGTTGTGGAGGAGGACGTTTTGAAAAGACTTCGGTTTTGAACGGAGGGAGTAGTAGTAGTAGTGTTTTAGGTGGTGTTGAGGGAGAAATGGTTGAGAAAGTGCCTGTGACAGTGGCTGCGGAGAAACTGACAGGGGCGTCGATGATGGAGCAGCTTGTTCCTGAAATCACGACGCACGCGTTGAGCTATTTGGATTATCCGAGTCTTTGTAGGCTTTCAATGACAAATTCGCTTATGATGAAGGCTGCAAATGATGATAATGCATGGAAAGCTCTCTATCATAAGGTGTGCCTCTGAAAGTTACATGAAGATGTAGTTTTTTTCAATTATTAGTGCTATCTGCATTCCATATAACATATCAATTGTATTTAACTGGATATGCTTAAAATGTTAAATTTAGATTATATACTAGTGTTGTATTAGTGATAGTGGAAGAGAATAATTAAAATGACAGTTAACAATCGATAAATACTAAATGATAGTTGAATAGCTAGCTTGATAGAGTAAAAATCTGAGGGAAAGACTTAGATAGTCCTTTAAGTATGGATATAGGAGTATCTTTGTTGTTTATGTATACTACTAAATATAAAACATCCCTCATCTTTGTAAAAGTGGACAGCTTTGATCCATCTCTTAACAGAGTTACGAAAACTAACGGAAAAAGCCTAAAGTCTACAACGGCAAAGCCAAAAGTCTACAACGGCAATGCCTAAAGTCTACAACGGCAATGATTAAAGTAAACTAAAGAACCACTGATGAAAGAGAAGAGGACCGTTTTGTGTTTGCAGTCCATAGTGAAGAATTACTGCTACCAAAACTCTCCTTTCAGAAAATTCATTAAATGTAAAAGGTCAAAATACATAACAAATTTGAGATTCTAACGAAAGGTTCCATCCTTCATTCGTTTAACTCAAAAACAAGTAAAACACATAGATGACAGCTCACATCTCTTTGGAAATTGGATTACATAATGTCAAACTAATTCTCGGAGATTAAAGATTTGACCTCTAATTTTTTCGCCATATCTTTCGCAATTACAAATGAAGAAAAACATAAAACATAAAAGGGTTAAAAAAGTAAATAATTTAGAACTCCACACTTACAGGTATCTCCTCTTCCACCATTTCCTCACAAAATTCCCGGAAGAAGAAGAAAAATCTATTTCAGAAACTATCCTTTGAACATTAGGCATAATATCATTCTTGAAATTTTTAAGAACAAAAAGATACCATTCTCTCTTCTCATAATCAAATTCCCATTTACGTCTTCCACATTGCCACTCATAATCAATATCACGAAAAAACAGCAAGCAGCACAAAAACCGTACAACCCATTTTCCGCTAGTTTTAGTAACTCTGTTTAGAGGGAGACCAAAACTCACCACTTCTACAAAGTTAAGGGATGTTTTATATCGAGAAAATGACATAAATGGTCCCTAAACTATCACAGTAGGTCTAACATAGTCCCTAAACTATACACTTAACAGAAATAGTCCCTTAACTATCTACAATCTTGTCAAGTTTGGTTTGTATCTACTTTTTATAGACACCGTTAACAAACTTTGTAATTCAGTTACTCTCTCTTGATTTTCTTTTTCCCTCTTCTTTTCTTCATTGACGCTGCTATAGTAAAGAAAACCTTGTCAAGTCTGGTGTTGTTTTTGTGCAGTTTGGGGTAGCTTGGTGATGTTTTTTGGTGCAGTTTTTGTGTAATTTGGTGCAGTTTCTGGCTATTTTTTGTGCAGTTTGTAACTGATTTTTGGTGCTCGAGTGCTTTTGGTGCAAATTTTTCGTAGTCTGATGTAGTAGTTTGGTATTGATATTTTAATGGTTTGATGTTGCTGTCTAGTGCTGTGTTATGTACAGTTTCATGCTGA